TACTCGACTCTATCGAACCTCAATAACTGCTACAGCCTGGACAATGTCAATTCAATATTCGCGTCTGCAACTTAGGTATTCAGACACGATACAGAATGTAATGAATGGTATTAATCATTGCCGACATTTGATGGTTGGTAAATTGAGTACAAAGATCAGAGAAATTGTGTCCAATTGGCCAATCATACCGAACCAGTTTACATCTGACCCTTCGGCTCGCAAATCTCACACGCCCATAAGTAAATAGCTGCTCTTTGATCAGAGAATTTTTTCGAATCGAGTTAACTATATCACATGACAATGTTGACAGTTACTTTTCTGGCCGGTTTTGCTGTGATTGAATAAAAAGGTCAACGACGCTAAAGTGTTAAGTCATATCTTTGCTTTCGAGGAAAAACAGTTATTGATAAGGGCAGAAGAAAGTATTTACTGCGGAGTTATTTTACAATTTAGTTACATATTACTTGTAACGAGTAAATATTAAATGTCAACATTGGGATTGGGATAGTTGTGAAAACTGCCATGCCTTTCAGTCATGTTCTGATCATTAATGTATCCGAAAGAAATAAAAAAAATTTCTGATTTGCACCATGTTTTAAAACTTGTCATTTTCATTAGTACATTATAAATGGAAGTTGCTATTAGAGCATAACTTTGGCGTCATTAACATTGCAACACATTTCTCACAGTTTATAGCTGTTTGACAACATTTTTGCTTCTGGAATTTATCTTGTGTTGTGTTGGTCAGTTGGTCCTTGTAATTTTAAAAGGCATTAAAATCTGATGTAATTTTAGATTTTGAAGCAACATATTATGACGCTAAGATCTTTTTATACCTTTTTTTAGACTGCATTAGAAGCCAATTTAACCCCTGTCAACACTGAAAATGTTGGATGAAGTAATTCTTCAGGATAATATATATATGATCAATATAATAAGCAGTCTGTGTCCTAACTCTAGTGCAGTACAAGTCGTGATCATTCTAACTATAGACCCTAGATACAGACTGGATGATTTAATATTCTGCTAGATCAAGTTAAAATTATTAAGAAATGATTTAAGATATCTGGTGCAATGTGAAGTAAGTCAGACATGACCGTAATTTAATCTTTCTATATTCAAAATTTACCGACTTCATAAAAAACATTTGAAGGAAATTCTTTTCACCAGATTTATTGAGTAGATTTAACAGAATCTCTTGATAATCAAATTAAATTTTGTTTTTTACTAGTATAAACTTCAAGCTTTGATTTGAAGCAGGAGGGGGGTTGTAGTGGTTCAGTGAGTTAAATGCTTTCTTATTTACCTCAAGGTCCAGTGTTCAATCAAATACTCAATATCTTTGGTATGACTAGGGAACACTTTTTTGTCACTATGTACAGGCATTGAGATGTATGTATTTGTTTTGAGATGGCATTGGGTTCCTGCTTATGCCCTACAAGTACTATTGTGTTGTTTGCACAAAAGGATTCAAACGTCAAACATAATGGTTCAATACACTGCCCACTTACAATTTTTACTGTGCCAAGCCCATATAGCACGCTTGATCTATGCTGGTATTAAATCCTGGATCCCTTGGCTAACAAATAAGGCTACTTGTTGAACCATTCTGTTTTAAGGGTGAGATACATATGACCATCCATATTGTTCAGATTAACAATGGTTAGGTTTGAACCTTCATTGTCATAAATCAGTTTCAGAAATTTGAGTTGATAGGTAGTGATTAAAATCAGTATGTATATACTGTAATTCAGTTCAATCACTTTCAAAATGGCGAGTTGTGAATACAAACAACCTAAATGTATAGGAAAATAATAAGATTTCGATGAAGGGATGACTGAATGATTTCAAATTGAATAGAATGAAATGTAATATGGTCTGGGCTAGAGAGTGAATAAAAAGGATAAGAAATACATCCCTACCTACATAAACATTTCAATTGATTTGATTCGCAAGATCAGGTAACAGTTATGGGGTAAGATAAAGTTACCCAGCCCACTGATACCATCTTGATTTATCTTGTCAAAGTCACTTCAATGTTACCTTTTTTCAATATTCTCCTATCAAAATAATCACTTGCTATTTCGTAGAGGAAATTTACTGTCGCTGTAATATGATCTGCTTTGTATTTTGAAACAGAATGTTAATAGGGTTTTAGATGTTTTTTGTGAAATTTTTCAACCAGTGAATATTTGATATTGAAGTCAGCAATGATCTAAATGTATTTGTCTTAGTATTGATCATATTCCTAAATTTTTAATCAGATTCCTTTAAACATGTTCTTCAAGGTCAGATGAACTAACGATCAAGATTGTACAGTTTTGATTAACCACTGATAAATAAACCAGGATGTAATTGAAGAGAAAAAAAAAAAAATTGCTGTAAATAATATGCCCTTGTGCTTCATTACCATATTCAACCAAAGGAAATGCTCACCTTTCATTCAGTTTCAAGTTTAAAATAGTAAAAACGTTTTTGCTGCAAGAAGTTGGGTATTGAGACAAATTGGTCATTTATTGAATTGCCTAATGAAATAGTTTGGCACCTTACAAAATGCATTCATTCTTAATGAATGAATTTTTACCAAGGTGTCCTATTTGAACTGTATGAAAGTTGACAGCATCTTTGCACTTGATAGTATTTTGATATAGCAAGAAACCTATTTTGATCAAAGTTGTAAGAAAGGGCATAGTGATAATCAATGCAAACTAAATTAAAACATAATTTTCACAATTTAATTTGACATTTACATTCCATTGTTACAATTTCAATTCAATATATACTATTTGCTGCTGGCTACTTTATTCAAACATATGTAATTAGTTTTAAAATTAATGGGTTTCTGGAATTAATGAGGAATATTTTCATAATACTTGTAAAACACATTATATCATCAAATATTGATGTAGCAGAAGATTTCAATAAGTTCAAACAGATTCTCTCCCTTCCTAAACTATTGAATTTTCTAATCAGAGAGGAAGAAATCTATCCACTTGTTTTTATCCGTGTAATTGGAAATATCAAAAATCTATAGGCGGAACAATTTATTTCCGATACATTCATTAAAATTTTATGGTGGCTGTATTATTTTAGGCCTAGACTTCCATTCCTCTAATGAGGTTAGACTTGGAAATTTGATTTCATTGTGTGCTGCTGAACTGAACAAGAGAGGTTGGCTGTCGTGCCCAATCTATAGCTTGTAGGAACATTGGAAATATTGATTATTGATAATCAATGACATGTGAAAATACCAGGACCCAGGTGGCTGTTGGCAAGAAAAATCAATAATGGGTATCGCTGATTAATGGTGAAGAGCTTATCGAAAGAAAAAAATCAGACTTGTTTGAATCAATAAGGAATTGAATTCTGGTCTTCATATTGACAAAAATAATAATTCTAATGACAGGTTTTCTTTAGGGAGTTAAAGAATCAATAAATTTGGGGATATCTGGTAGAAATCTATTGATTTAAGATGTTCAGGAAATCAATAAAGCCATCCAATATCTGTTAGTTTTAGTCATATCTTATTATTCAATTGTAACCAATCATTTTCCTTTCTAAGATCACAGACAGACGGATTGAAATGATTATCAGAGAGACATTTAGCTTGATAGCATTGTTGTGTAGAAGATAATGGTGTTTGCTTTTCCATCATCTTGAACTCGTTCCAGGGATTGTCTTTGATGCATGTTGTTTTGGAGTTGTATTGGGTAATTTGGTATGTTTCTTGATATAAGTCTGTACTGGTTTTATTGGGGTATTAGTATGTACTGTTTTATGGTGACATATGGATTGTATTGAGAAGAATTAAGGACAGGATTGAAGATTCTGATGTGCTGTCAAATGGTTTGAATCCAGTTTTACCATGTGCATTGACAACTGTTTACATCATCAGGGAAATCAATGACCTTCCATATGTTTTCGACATCCCTACCTGCTGAGACTCTACTTTCTTAACTTTAATCCAAAATCTGTAATTTGATTGGCTTGTGAAACTTAATTCAAAATTGATTTTAAAGATTGGACCGATCAGATCATTAGATTTGACAAAGAGGTTCCTGATGTCTCTTTGGATTCACAAAAAAATTTAGTGTCCATACATTTAAATGGTTGATTTTATTTGATTATCAATTTGTTTACACAGCAATTTTTTATTTAATGTATTTGATGTGACTGCTCATTTCCAGTCAACATTTGAATTGTTGACAGAAGAATTGTGTGATCAAAGTTTAATGAGAATCATGCTCTGTACAATATAATGATTAGATGATTGGCGTTAGATAAACTTTACTCATTACATTATTGTCTTTCAGCAATCAAACCTAATCAATTATTTTTGTTGGCGTTTACATGTTGTTTACATTTTCTCTTTTCATTTGTTTACCTATATTGATTACCTATAGATGTTTGATAGGTTTTCTTCAATCTTCTTACTATAAGTGAAACTCTTGGTTTAATTTTTGTACAGGAGCTTTGAGTTTTTAGCTTGCATTTGTTTTCAATTTTAGCATTGATTCAGATCAAATTGTAAATTGGGCACACATTTGGTTTCAAAATTGATTGTAAGAGGGGGAAGTAAATTTTGATGTGGATGATGTATACCATATGTTGGATTTGTGTTATAGTCTTTTCTTAGATACTATCATTCAAAAAAGGTTTTATGGCCTATTCACGTTATGTTGGGACACATATAGCTTCTATGTATACAATTTCCAGTCTGACCTCTTTCGTTTCGAACCTCTGAAAAAAATTGAACAGATTATGTCACTGCTATATATTCTGTAGGATTTGGGAAAGTGATGATGTCCAAATTTGGTAGAATATTGAAATGTCATAATTGGTGCAAATGGTAGCTGTAAGTGTCCTTGGCATGAGAAATCATTTTTTTAAATGTTTCTTAATTATTTTATCTTTTGAGGAAATCATCTTCCTTCTTCTTTCCTACAACTTGAGAGATCATTGGGTGCTAATTTAAATATTTTTTGTTATTTTTTTTTCAGAGGTGACAATAAAACAATTAAAAGAAAAGTTAAAAGAACATGAAGAAAAACTTGAATCTACTGCAGACGTAAGTTTTTAAAGATTATTTATTATCAGATATAATATGTTCAAAGTGATGATTGATAAATTTGCTAAAAGTCAAAGTTTTTGATCTGGGGCATTATTTTGCAAAACTAAGAAAATATCCAGATTTTCAGATAAACAACAATCTGATTGGTTATTTAAACTAGATTTAAAATTGATCTTAGATAGATGACTGTAACACTTAAATAATCCGGAGTTAATTCTTCGAGAATAGGGCCCCAGAGACCAACTTGTCTACTTAATCTATCATTCAAAGGGATAAAATCCATATTTAAAAAACAATATTGAACTTCCAAAGTGCAACCCTAAGTATATTCATGTTTGTAGAAAGTGTACTTATGTAAGGTAGTGATGTATTCAAAATGAACTTGATAAATAACCTCTAATGATTTTATAATATGTCTCCACTTTTTAAGAAGCTGAAAATATTCTATTGAATTTTTACAAGATCAGTATATAATAACAGATCAAACATTTTGAATACTACTGCAGTTCACAACATAATGTAAAATGCATCCCTAGGCAATTAAAGATGATTAGGCGGAGATGTTTAGTTCACATAACATTGTTCATTTCTTTTGATGTTATTCTTGAAGAAAGGTTAGTATTGCCATGATAAACCATTCAGGTCAACACAGATCTTCTATTAATGACTTGAAATATTTCATCAAAGGAAATTAAGGATGTATTAAAATAGTTCAGTTATGCCTTGATCCTAAAATATTAGATCATAAAATAAACAACATAATTAAAAAGATAATCACCATATTTGAGAGGAGTTAGGTTTATCCAAGTCCTGGCTTAATATGGAAATCAGATATTTGTTTAAAAGTTTATATCATGATTGTAAAATTTTACTAAATAATTAAAGTCTGTTAAGATTATCATCTTATGAGGGAATCAAGTTCATAAAAATAGTTTATTAAAGTTCACTATAAGGACACTTTTTAGGGTGATTTTTTTTTAATCAAAATGCTCAGAGTGACCACAATATTATTGGAATTTTACAGTTCATTGTTTTTGCTTTTAGGGGGATATACAACTTTAAGTCTAAGAAGGCAAATTTTGCGTAAATCAGTTATCTTTTAGAATTAAAAATCAGTTTATTAAAGTTTATGGCTCTTAAAATTGATAATTTGAACTGATTTCTAATGTCTGGCAACTTGTTTGACAAGATTTGGTTTATGATGCATCATTTTTCATCTTTGCCAGTTCCATAATTTGGCACAATTTGTAGAAGAAATGATGTGAAACAGAGTACTGTGTTATATTGATAATATGAAAACAAACTGATCTCTTGATAACATCTATTTATTTCTATCAACTAACTATATCACTGTTTTCTTTTTCTTAGGCCACGTCAAACTAGTGTTTGTTGTTCATTGCTCTACTGCAAAGTTTCTTTCATAAATCACATGCTTAATTTTAAAGGGATTATTTCGAATTATTATTTATAGGACAAATAATAGGATATTTTAGACGAACCCTGTCATACCCTCAAATGACATGTGGAATTGTTTCAATAAGTTTCAAATCAGATTTTTCATGTTTGTGGTTTGTTTCAAAATGAATTTACTTATGATTAATGTAAATTTATGATTCATTAGACAAAAACTATTAATAATGTTATTCAATGAACAAAAATCAAAGTTAGATTGGCCTATATCTATCTTTTCAAAAGAAAATGATTTTTTTCTCGGCATCATGCCATATGGCTCTCTGATTACCAAATTATTCTCAATTACTCTTTCCAGTCACATGTGAAATTTCTAACTTCTATTGGATAAGATTACACTTTTAATATTGATTTAAATCACAGAATAAGAGTTTCTTTTTAGGAGTAGAAGATTTATTGGAAATTGAAGAATTTTGGTTAATTTTCTTGGCGCCATCTCAAAGAGAATTATGTATATTTTATATATCTTAGACAATTTTGGGTGTCTGTTGATGTTTTTCAATGCTTTTCATATTTTGATGATGATGCATTAAAGGGAATGTGTCATGTTTTAATATCGTTTGAAAATTGATACAGTTCATTTCATTTTCAAACAGATGTAGTATTTATTTGTAGAAAAGTGCACTTTTGGGTGTAAATTGAAAGGGTGCAGATTTTCTAACAATATGTAAATTTCCTAGAATATTATTGTAATAAGCTATTTTTAGAATATCTGCAAAGATCGCATTAATCAATTCACTTGAAAATTGAGTTAGTTTTTGAGATAATTTCTTCATCAATCAAGTGAAGCCTTTAATATAGAATGGATAAGTTTCATGATACATTTCTATGGTCAATATTAAATGTATATTATTCACATTAACTGCATCTTTGGTGGTAGGTTAAATATCATGTTTATACATTTGATATTGACTATAATCTTGATACATTCAATGTTGACTGCATCCTCATGATATTGATAATATGGTACAATATTGACTGTTGTTCTTACAAATGATACATTTGATATTGACAGTGGGCCTACCCATTTACTATAGAAAGTATTGAATTAATTCTGTATAAATGATACATTTAATATTGATGGTAGGCATATCCATTTAATAAAGACTGTAATTCTTACAAATGATACATGTAATATTGATGGTAGACCTATCAACATTGACAGTAGGTCTAACCATTTAATATAGACTGTATTCATTTAATATAGACTGTAATTCTTACAAATGATACATGTAATATTGATGGTAGACCTATCAACATTGACAGTAGGTCTAACCATTTAATATAGACTGTATTCATTTAATATAGATTGTAATTCTTACAAATGATACATGTAATATTGATGGTAGACCTATCAACATTGACAGTAGGTCTAACCATTTAATATAGACTGTATTCATTTAATATAGACTGTATCTAAATATCTGAATATCACCTGATAACTTCACTGATCAGACATATTTTATTTATTTCCAATCTAACAACATGTTATGGAGTATTATCATGATTGGATATAGAAAATCTCTAATGTGTCATTCAAAGAGAACCAAACCGATCTTTTACAATAACCAAATTGATCTTGGTGAATTTTTTATGTTCTCAAACAATTTAATCCATATTTGATGATTTGTAGAGAAGTCCCTAAGCAATGATGTTAAAAAGGAGGGTTAGAGAAGATGTATTTTAAATGATTATTAATCTCTCTATCTTCTGATCAGAATAGCTCGCCTGGGAATTTCTCAGATTGAACAAAGTTGAGCAATTATTCCAAAATCACTTTAAACCAGAAACGCAAATTTCTACTTCAATTAGTGCTTCGATTTCTCGGCTAAATGATTCCTGGTAAAATCCCAATACTGTCGGCAAGAGAGCGAACCTATACGACATGACACATGACATCTATGAAATCAGTCCATTAAATTGTGCAAAATATTTTCACTAGAGATTATATGTTGCTCTTTAAATCTGTATGATTAGAATTCTATTGCAATTATTCAGATTGGGTTTAGGCCATTATTAAACTTGTGGTTAAGCTGATTGATTTTTATAAAAAGTCAAGTTGAATCAAGGTTTTTTTGACTTGATCATTAGGAAGAACTTTAGAATTTATATTAACTATGATATATCAGTATTTTTTTTACAAAGTACATGATTATTGGTTTTCAATACGGTAACACTTGGGTTGATCGGTTTTGTGTCAGGTTTCATGCACGTCCATGACTGATATTTTTAGAAGAGTCTGTTTACTAATTTGTCATGTTAAAGGGATTGTAAAGAGGTTTCAAAACTTTTTGTGGGTATCCGGGATACTGCTATCATCAATTTGCACTTTCAAATGTCCTGATATGTTAAGATTCATGTATTAATTTTTTTAGGTGAGCCCAAATAATTGGTCTGTTCCCTAATTTTAATTTGCCCTTCTGCTTTTTTAGAGTCAATTTCTCAATATTTAAAGGTCACCTGCATGATAGTTTCTGAGGAATTCCCTGATTTAAAAGGTTAGACTCCCGATTTGTTTTAAATCCATACTGAGAGATAACTATCAGAGTTTGTTTATAAAGGTTTGAATATTTAATAGTTTCCAATACACTAACAAGTGATTGGTAAATGAGGGAAAAATTGTTGTTTAAATAATTAATTAAAAATCATTCTGATTGATTGAATGTTAATCGGAGTCAAAGAGATTGTTGATGATAACTTAGCTGTGTAGAATTTGAACTGTGTATGATTGTCCATAATCAAAGTTTGAATATTAAAGGCACTATGCTGTCTAATTATTTTACATAAGAGCTTATTTCTCAACACTTTGTCAATTGTTTGGGTAAAGAAGGTTAATGATAGTTTTTCATGCACCAATATAAAACTCAGTACCAAGATTAACATGCAAAACATTATGTTAGTTGGAAATAGCAAATGAATACATTCGTTGAATAAGTACTTTCTTATGTTTGCAAATTGGTTAACTTTCTTTTGTCTTCATCAAGTTTTAAGATTTTTAGACCTTATTGATAATGAGGTCGAAATTATTGAAGATGACTTCAAGTTTAATCAAATGTATCTAACTGATATTCATTGCATGTATTAGTCAGTGATTAGAATTTAAATAGGTGACGTCTGCCTGTATATTTTAAAAAAGCTATGTAATTTAAATGATGTTTTGTTGACAGGGTGCTGTGTTTATTGCCTATAGTCAATATTGTCTCTTCTCAATAGTTCACTTGTAAACACTCTAAAGTAACAGATTAACAACTCCCCTTTACAATCTGAACATCTTTTGTGGTGAAAAAATACGGGCAAATTGTCTGAAGTGTGAGGCAAGAAAAGTTGAATAGAACGACTCTGTTTTTATTGAAAACCCTGTCAAGAGCTTCAGTTCACCCATATTCATCAATGAATACAAATTTAAGGTTAACTTCACTGCAGTCCTCCCTAATTGAAGTGCTCGTCAAGATTTTATGTGTATGCTTTTATGGGTTCATATGTAAATTTATTATTGTGATGACAAGGAAGATGGAAGGTTCTTGATCATCTATTGTGTTTGTTTAAAGATCCTGCTTCACTTTTTAGACACTTCTTATAGTTTTCTATCAGTTCAATTGCTTTAAAAAGGACAGGTATAGGAGATGATTTAAGTTTTAAAATGTTTTTTTTTGGCAGAAGTTGATTATCCTAAAATCATTCCAAAAAAAATTATAATTTTTTTCATTTCTGACTAGAAATTGTGACTTGTATTAATCATGTTAGGCAAGAAAATTGTGAGGGATGCAAAAAAACTCCATTTTCATTTCATTTATTACTTGTTAATATCCCTTTAATGTGATACTTAGAAAAGTAACAAAATCTGGTCACAGCTGACTGGGTTTTTGTCGTCTGCAAATAAACTATCAAATAGAAATTTTCTATGATCACTTTTCTACCTTCAACTTCAATCTAAACAATTCATTATATCTAAAGAGTAAATAGATGTAGGAAAGAGATTGAGTTTACTATTCAAAGTTTGATGGGTGATTAGAGAGCCTGGACGTGTCATCAACTAGCGAGCCTGATCTACCAGCTTAAATCTGTCTGCTAGGGTGGAAATCAATCAAACGTGAACTGTTGACAGAATGAGATGAGATATAACTGGTGGTACACATTAATATATCTCTTTCTCTATACCTATATACACCTATCGTATTCTAATGACATTGTCATTTATCACTTTTGGTCTGATCACTACCTTTACAAGATGGCTGCCTCAAGACACAGATTTCTTCTGATCAGTCTAATCAATCACTGACTGTTAATTTGATGATGGGATTTGATCTGTTTGCAGAGTCGAGCCAAAGAAAAAGAACGGGAACTGCAAAGAAGTTTTACAGAAAAGGAACGCCAACTTCAGGAAACTCAGCTGACAGTCGCAAAGAAACTTGGAGAAGCTGAACAAAAGATTTCATCTCTACAAAACTGTAAGTATTTATTTCTATATTTGATCTTAAGTCTTAATTTTCACCATGACAATTGTTTGTGACTCGGACAAGTTAACAGTTATGATACAGGTGTGCAGACAGCTTGAATTTAAACTCTATGTGGACCACTCACTCAGTCTTAATAATTTCATTCATGTAGAAAGCTACATACTTGTGGCCAGTCAGGGTTAAAGGATAACTTCATTTATAACGTTTAATGACACTGGCATAGCTACACTTTCTCTTTTGACTGACCAAGAAATAATTTTGTACTTGGTAAAACAGATGAAACTGGCCAAATTTAGTAAGCATTTGCATGACATGAAAGATTTATCATTCAAATTTCTGGATTCAAAATCATTAAGAAAAGTTTACCTAAAGACTAAATTTTGATATTTGCGTTTCCCTCTTCATGCTTTTAGAACATTTGCAAGATCTTGGGCAATTTTAGTGCCAAACTCATATATACAAATACAAATATTGAAGGAAAAGATACAAATCACATTTATATTGAATTTGTCAATTTTGTCACTGCAACAACATTAAAACCAGATGCTGCATGTTTCAGTTTATCTAAGAGCTTTTAACCAAAAGCCCCATAATTGCTGTGCTTGAGAAGGTTTTGCTGTCTACGTAGAACTTTTGATCAAAAGCTTTTGATTAATAAGAATCTATATTTTGATCATCCACATTTGATTGAATTTTTAAATGGAAATTATAAACTAGCTTGATTTATAATGAAGTAACATCAGACTAGATTTTGTTTATCACTGCAAATTAATGCAGAGTTGATTTTACTTTTATCACAAACTTCAAAGACAAACATGATCTGAATACATTTTTCTCTTAATTTTTACTTCATTTGACATGTATTTTAATCTATTTCCAAATTTTAGTGGTTTATGGCATTAACTTGAAAGTTTGATTCTTTGTTGACATTAGCATAAAATAATCCTTTATGCAAATGACCCAAATTTTGTAATTAAAATATTCACTTTCAAATCTCTGTATTGTTTTATGCATGGTTTGCAATTGACGTTGTCATGGCAAATGTGATGTTTAAATAACTGATTTTTGTTGAATGTTTCAACACACTTTTATTGTAATTTCACACTATTTTATCAAATTTCTTAAATGTGAAAATTATCCAGACATAAGACGTGGATTTTTTTGTCATGTAAATCAACTTTTATTGCCATTGTGTTTTGGAACGTTGATTTAAAAAGAGCGATTTTAAAGTAATATCTAAATTGTCAATGTTATTGGCTTATTATAAATATACAGTAATTTGATCTATAGCTGAGAGATAAATGTTTCATAATATTAACTATTATTCACATATTTTATATCAGAATTTTCAAGATAAATTAATCCAAGTTTTTAAAGATGCCTGGTGTGTGAGGTTATTGAATAGTTAAAAGAAAGATGGGCGGGTGGTCGGTCGAACACATGAATCAATTTGGATTAGAATTCAAATTTTCAAACGTTAAGTGATGTTTTCTTGGTCCATTGTAATATGACATAAAGGGATGCTGTTTAATAGTTTGTCTATCATGTCTGGCTACTAGATAAAATGATCAAATATATAAGTTCAAAAATCGACAGATGGCTCTGATTGGCTGCACTACAATTCTTGGCTTATGAAATTTCTAGGGAAATAGTCCATATACTCAAGAACTATTTTTATTTCCAAGAATTATTAGATATTTCAAGCTAATCAAATATGATGATGATTGTTATAGTCTTAAGCTTAAAACATAACTGACCTTTTGGTATAAAAAAATCATGAAAATAATAATCTTTTAGAGGGTTTATAGATTGTATTTTTTAGGTTAAATCTTCTATTTCACAAATCTTGAAGAAAGGTCATCTTGTATCAACCCATCAAAACTTGGTTTGTTTACTTAAAATTTTGATCCTTCCTTTAGTGCCCAATCACACAATTTAGTTTGATACTTTCAAGGTAGCAGATTAATGACTTAACAAGGAAAAAAAATCAAAAAATGACAAATCAGTCCTCTTACAGATTAAGATTGGGTTTCTGTCAACAATTTTTCACTAAATTTTATATCTTCATGTTAATCCATTATGATTTATTTATGTGTAAATTATTGATATTGCTTGATGAAAATGACATCGATTTTAGCTTTTAATCAGATATTGGTATTAAGAGTGAAGAAGTTCATAGAAAGTCCTATGTAAAGCACTGGACGAGATCTGCTAAAAATAGTGTACAATTGAAAAATATTAACTTTAAAAGTGCTTAAATTTATCATTGGCATAAGAAATGAAGTCAATCACAGAGGAAGAAGATCAAATATTAATAAAATTGGTATATCTAGAGCAAAACTATGACGACCCTCTTCTGGTGTAACGCTTGGTTAACAAATAGGATCTTACTGTTTGTATTTTTGGCAATGATCATAACTTCCGTGGGTTAAAGTTCAGTCTATTTAGCATATTTTGTGAGGATGATCAGGTGTTTATAAACTTGCTGTTTCTTTATTTAATTTCAATAAAATTTGACAGATTTCACGTGTAAACAATGCACTGAGGTGTCTGATATGATTGATTTGTGAGGCGGAAGTCAGACATAGTTTATGATCTATGATGTTGCAATACTAAATTTATTATCTCCTGCAAAAAAGGAAAATTGAAAATGTTTATTGTTCCTGATTGTGAGTTCAAACTCTGACATGCAAAGGAAGCAACACTAAAAACAAGAATTATGATGCCAATTTTAGTCAGCTGCTTTATTAAAATGAAATTGTCTGCCAATGTTGTTAGGTAGTTGCAGTTTGATGCTAATTAAGTAATGCTATTTTGTAGAATGCAAATACATGCAGATGCTTATTTATAGTACAAAATTTTATACCGGATATGATATGAGATAGTTGATCTGAAGGTTGATCTAGTAAAAGTGATTTATGTATCTGAAGATATGATATTAATGATGTACAGGTTGATCTAGTAAAAGTAATCTATGTATCTGAAGATATAATATTATTGATCTAAAGGTTGATCTAGTAAAAGTGATCTATGTATCTGAAGATATGATATTATTGATCTAAAGGTTGATCTAGTAAAAGTAATCTATGTATCTGAAGATATGATAATATTGATGTAAAGGTTGATCTAGTAAAAGTAATCTATGTATCTGAAGATATGATAATATTGATGTAAAGGTTGATCAAGTAAAAGTAATCTATGTATTTGAAGATATGATATTATTGATGTAAAGGTTGATCTAGTAAAAGTAATCTATGTATCTGAAGATATGATATTATTGATCTAAAGGTTGATCAAGTAAAAGTAATCTATGTATCTGAAGATGTGATATTATTGTAATCTATCTATCTGAAGATACGATATTATTGAAATAAAAGGTTGATGAACTAGAAGTAATCTATAAGTATTCTGTATCAACCTGAAGTGATATATTGGGATATCAATGATATATGAAGGTAGGCCAGGTTATAATGTACTGCCTGGGGCACTACTATTTATCTAAAACTATTTAGGTGTTTGATAGAAAGAAACAATAACAATGCTGTCAATAATAAATAACTATAACCTTTTTTACTTACTTTCTAGGCTGGTCATATTTAAGATGCCTTCTCATGTATTTTTTTGTGGTGGCATAGTTTTCCTTTGTTAAATTCAAAAAGTGACATGCCACTAAGAAATTTTGATTAAGATTTTTGAACATTCCTTGAAGTATGCAAATGTATCTGCTCTCTCCTGAAATAGGAATAAAACTATTAAGCATATAACAGCCAACTAAATCCACAATCGGCAAAAGATATCAAGTCCTTATGTGAAAAGAGATAAATTGCCAAAGGAAATCGTTGAGTAAAAGTCTTGTGATTTTAACTGAATTACTCTTGATCCTATTTATAAAGAGAAATTCATCAGATTGTGATGATCGAAGAAAAAGCTGAAATGTTTAGTTTTGGGGAGTTAATATAAAGGATGATACAAAACTGAATACAATAATTACCATTGAGTATGAATTGATACAACTCTCATACAGCTAGAAACTTTCAAACATTCGTAAAGACATTATTATTACCACTTTCTTTAAAAACCATTCATTTGTATCATTTTCTGTTTTCAAACATGGGTTGCTGTATATTAAGAATACATTTTGTCGTTTTTCAATCAACGTCTTTCAATGAAAAGACATTTTCAATTTGAATAGAGGTCTAATTCAGTGTACATGATCGAGTATTGTCATTGAAAAATCCTATTGACATATTCAAAATACACCAAACTCCACCATTCAATATATTAAATCATGCGTAGGATCTATATTAAAAGGATGGGGTTGAATATTTTGTATTAATATACTCCAAATATAGAAGATGCAATAATGTCTACATTTTAAGGCCGTCATTTTCAGTTTCCAAATTTGGTCATGCTATAACAATAGTCATAGAATATAATGATGTGATAAATGTTTACTTTTTGATAATAAGTGGTTTGAACATTGAACAACTAAAATCCCATCCTTAACTTAAAACAAATATCTCTCTTATCTTCCTCTTCTGATCGGAAAATTGCTGTATTTGAATAGGAATATTGTAGAATTTTGAATAAAGGATGAAGAAATGAATATAGAAGTTGAATGGAGTTGGGTGAAGTACATCAGTTGTTACATCCAAATTTTATTGTTAAAAGGATGGAAATTTTGCAATGATGCACAGGTATTTTTCGAGCTTCCTAATTGAATTGGAAAATTCTAGGCAACATTTTGAAGAGGATATAAAATAAAACTTGAAAATGAGGAAGATAATTTTTTTGAATAATAATATGTCAGGTGATTATGTTCAAGTGATATCTGAAACTATAGGATATAAGTTAATACATGGTACTTTCAGGTTGACTTTTTGATTCAGTTCAATTAAAAATATACAGATAAGAATTAACACCAAATCATTAATTTTGTATGTGTATAATATATATTTTATTAATACTGAATAAAAGGTACAATTTAAAAAAAAAAAATTGTTAATTGATGTGATGTTTTGTTTAATTTTCTAAATTTGAACTTTTAAATACTATTATCTGTATTTCTATTTTAAAAAGTTTCTATTGTCAAAAGTATTATTTATATTTTATTTTCAATTTGGATTTACGTCAACTGGACTATTTGTACTTAGAAAATAGATGATTTTTTTGCCGATTTGTGGGTTGTCTGAAACTTAACACACCTTATATGTTTTAGCACATGAAGAATGTGATTTGAAATTATGTTATGATAATACCATTTTGAGTTGCTCAAGTGACATTCCAGTGTGAAGGATAGATTAAATAGTTAAGTAATGTAAATGGTATTTATTAAGACAATGAATATTTTAGTTAAAATGATCATTAATTATAGCTGTGATATGGGAAGATAAAATGAGATTTAAGCGTAAAATTAATGATGGGATTTACGTGTAATGGGATTATCATGTTCACTCTTGCATATTAATGGGATTATCATGTCTTAAGACAATAATTTAATGGATGCTAATTATTAATAATTATTAAAGTGATTCACATGGTCTGCACATAGTGATAATTAAAATTGAAAGTTAAATAGTTAGCCTATTAAGGCAAGATCTATTTTTTACACCCACATTTCTCTTTATGTATGGTTCCAATGTCTATTTGCCAGTTCCACCATTTGTTTTCTATTTGACTTTTGGAAAGTTTCAAATAAACTCAATCTGTTATGATTTTTTGTCAATGCGATAAAAAAAAATCACTTTTGTATCTAACATAATTTGTTCTTCAGATATCATAAACCTCAGTTTAAAAATCCGACTCTTTTAAAGTATATCCTTAATTTGTAGATAAGAACTGGGTCAATTTTCACATTAAATTCGCCAATGGAATGTTATTATATCTATAAGATTATTCAACTCAAAGCAAACCTCTAAGGTCCTCATCATGATAACCTATGTTCCGTGAAAACAATGTCAAATTGAAAAACATAAGTTAAGATATCTGATTACACAGAGAATTAAAATCTAATTTTATTGATAATTCTCATACATTTGTTAAATTCCAATTATGTCTTGAGATATATAATAGTCAAGGAATTTTAGATTGTGAGAACAGTTATTGACAAGTTATGGAAGGGACTGTGTGACAAAGGTGTACATGTATAAATACTCTTTTAAATGCATGTATTGAAGGTATACTGAGATATTTTGTTATTTGTTATTTTCTTGATAATTCTTGATCATCTGTGTTATATTTTGTATATAATTAGGTTTTTTGTATATTTTTCAGCTGTGGAAAGCTTACAAAGTGAGTTATTTGAAGCTAAAGCTAAACATGATGAGACTACAACTGCAAAGTAAGTTGTAATACTATTATTTAATCCGTGCATCATCATCATCTATTCTTATTATCTTTCATTTCTAAATCAGTGAATCTATCTGAATTTTCTTCATTACCAGCTCTGGAATTATGTGATCAATCCTTTATATGCACCACACCATGCTATCATCATTTGCAGACCTGCATCTGGATCATTACATTAAAAAAAGCATCACTGCATAAAGAAAATTGGAAGCAACATAAAAATCTAACAGTAGGATAGATAATATATAGACATAGAAGGTTCAATATGTCAGATCTTCAATAAAAGCAAGGAAATCTTCACTATCTAATTCTGGATACGTTTTTTCTGGGGTTTTTTCTCCTGTATATGTATAATAATGATTTTATTCAACAAATGTGATAAGCTGAAATTGTTTTCTAACCTATTTCAAAATTGTTGATTGACATTTATGTTTGTCATCTTTCAATTGTTCACATTATCAATTTGAATAGATGATATATTTCTATCATATTTATGACTTGATACAGGAACTGGTTTTGGGAGGCTATAAATCCTTTTTTTCAAAATGAATTTCATATAGGTGAAAATATGAAGTTTTTATGGTTGTTGTGATTGAAAAATGACTGACACCTGTTGGCTGAGAATGTCAAAAAATCATCTGAAAATTCGAACACTTCACGACAATCTTCGATATCTAGGGAACATTTGAACTACTTTTGGTGATCATGTGAAAGCAACATCATGATTTTGAGATAAAATTGAGTGAAAACATGTCAGTTTTATGGCAAATTGTTAAACAGCATAATTTTCAGTGGATATTCGGATTCTTGTTTTGAATTGATACAAAAAGGCAAATCATGGGAATTACTCTAACTTCAAGCATTGTAGCTTGTTCAGAATATCTTTGGGGTCAGAAGAACATGCTTCAAATAAAAATTGTTATAAGTGATCTTAAGGGAAATAACAGCAATTGAAGTGTTCTGATATGTTTGTTTTAGAAAATTACGTCTTTATATGTAGATATTAAATGATTCCAAGGACACTAGTTTTCTAATTATCATAAATCTTGAAGGTGTGTTTTAAATCTAGAAATATATATCAGTCATATGGTACAATTGTTTTATTAAAGAATAAGAAAAACCATTAATATCTTTTACCTCAGTGAAAAGTGTCTCCTTATTCAAATAAAATCATACTTAAATGTATTTCTTGCCCTTGTGGATTTTGAGATTTTGGTGTCTGTGGAAGTTTTTGTCTTAAAGTTATCTCGGAACCTAAGAGTTTTGTTTTGACTGTGCTGGTGTTTCTGTAACACTTCAGTTTTTGGTAACAACTCTAAAATGGTGAAGAAATGTCATAATCAAAAAGTTTTATAGCATTAATTTGAAAAAAATCTTGAAAGACATTGGCATCGTGTTATTCATTCTCATCAGATTGATAGTGCCATTGTAAAAGAATATCCAACTTCCTGATTTCTTAAAGTCGATCTATTAAAACTCTAATGTCATGTTAGATTGCCTTACAAGAACAGAAGTCAAAAAAATTAATGACTTGCAGGAGAAAAAACTGAAATCAATTTGAATTTATTGAAAACAATGTGATTTGCTGGGGAGGAGAAACATGATATTGGTGGATCGTGGTGTGTTTATGAGATTTTTCGTGAAGTTTTAAGTATTGATAAATTAGAAATCAATACAAAAGCCATCGATAGAGAATAAGATCACCAGATAAAGGATCAATAATTGAATTTGTATCTATGAAGTTGCCATGGAAACAGAGCTAATTTCCAGGGTTACGAATGATGATAAATCTAATCGGACAAAACACAAGGGCTTATAATTGATTTTCTCATACTAGTTTTAATGTGAAACAATTTTTTGATTGCTCCTAAAGGAACTAAATTCAATCCATAATTAGTTATTGATTTTTCTTGTTCACTTGCCAATTCTTTGTTTGAGAAAAAAACTAATATTTTCTCTTATTTTCTTGCTCGATGATTGCTTCCTGAAGTCCACAAGATTTTCAAATGTCACAAAAACTTGATCACTGTTTGGCTTGATCAAATCGATTGTTTCCTGCAGAAAAACGAGTTCAGCAAATCTTGGATGATTTTTTAAATAGCTCATTACACAATAGAATTCCTTTTATTGAAATTTATTTATAATTATTTAATCTTTGATTCATTTTTCTCCTGTGTTTGATACATTTACATGTCTTTTATGTTCAACTTGCCACCCTTTTTATATGAAGAATGGAAGCACAGGAGGTTTAGAAATCAGGTTGAATTGGGTTCGGAACATTTTAATGTTAAAATTGGTATCATTTGAGTATTGCTCATGTGCTTACATAGGTTTTATATTATGCATTATGATATATTTTTCAACCATCTTGTATGGCTCTGTGAATAAAAATGTCTGAATAAAATGAGATCATTCTGTAGAAATAAGTAAATGAAGATTTAACCACATCATAAGGAAGAGCTTTTATATTTTATAACAATATGATAGTGACCAATACGAAAACGTGAGCATTTAAATCCTAAAAGAAAATCTTTAGTCCATTTTTATTATGGGTGTTATATTAATATTCAATGACACTGGACTTCGTCATATATTTTGACCACATCAATGACGACAAAATCTTTTCACTGACCTAGTAAATAGTAGACCACATCTTTAATGTGCTTTGTGATTTGACAAAAAATCAGCCTATTTATGTAAGCTATTGAATTTGATTTGACTATTATAATAATGAGAGAAGATGAATATCTATGTGAGCCAATAGATTTAATGACCACATCATACAAAATTCAGCTTTTGTTCGACATCTAAATGACCAACGAGTTATTATATATGAAAGCAAGACAAAGATTGTAAGAAATTTGGTTGAGGAAATATGACTGATTTTCTTCTGTTCATTGAATGATATAGAACATTAAATCCTGGTGACAATTTTAGATTGATCATTCATGTCCTATATTGTAATCTTTATTTTCTTAGCAGTGACTAATTAGATAACTTGACTAATTAAAAGTATTTTGATATATAAAGAGATTTTGTCAAATTCAGTATCATTCTGATAAATGTCATATCTTGCAAGTAGATTATATATACTAGATTGTGTATTATTGGACATCTGAATTTTAGATACTTTTTTTTAAATTTGGACATAACTGACAAGGATGACTTTACTGCAAGGTTTGTGTTTTAATCTTTTTTGATAAAGAATTAACCTCTCCTCTCACAAGATGTTAACTGAAGAGCGTGGAATTCTTTTTGATATTGAGCAATAAATGAAATTTTGAATTTTTGAAATCAAAATGAACACAATAATTAGAAGTTATATCTTCATATCTTTTCTAACATACCTATTTTCTAATATAAACTGATTGTTTAGTTAAATTGAAAGAGAGATTAATATGATAAATACTTAAAAAAAAATGTCAATAAGTCTATCCATTGATTAAAATTAAGAAGCTTTAAATTGATGAAAATTGTTATTCCAAGTCACCATAATGTAAAGATATAACTGTGTAATGCTCTTAACACACTGACAAATACACAAAACTTGCCTCTTGTTTAAAAAACAAATACATTCTATTTGGTTCAACGATATTTTGATAGATCCTTAATGTCGGAAATTCAAGTCAACTTCACAGGTTGTTTCTGTGTATAGAATGCAAATTATCTTTTTTCATTCAACATTTATTAGTTTGAAAAACAAAAGGTGCAGTCTGAATTATGAGGTGGTTAATAATTCGAATTTTGAAATTTGCTAACTGCAATGAATGTTTCGTCAAACTGTTACTTTTTATTGTTTCATTTTGCCATTCGAATCTATATTACTTGGGTTATTTAAGATGATGCCCATGTGATTATGTATATGTCTGATCTTGCTCTTAAGTCTGAATTTAAACCAGGATAAGATTTGTTATTGACTATGGAATGTTTACTAATGGCATTGTTTCTTTGGTTGACATTTTGAGCATGGAGTCAATCATGACTGGCAAATGAATTAGCCTTATTATTAATTCATAAGACACACAGAATATTAAATATCTATTGCCTTGTTTGATATCCAAATTATAGCTTATGTATATCACGTAAAATTCATATACAGTTGACTTAATTGAATATTCATAAATTAAAATTATAAATTCATCTCACATCTACCATGATTTATTGTTGTATTTTGATTTTAACCATTTTAAATCAACTACGACTTTTCCCATAAATTCCTGAACTAAATCCAATCCTGATAGTCCTGTTTTTCCAGTTGTTCTAGACTACAAATATTTCATCAATGAAGAGTGAACGTAAAAACTTGTTTTGATTCAGACAACTAATAGATTTCATAATATGGTTATCTTTGATCCAGATTAGTCAAGTTTGTCCGTCAAAGCTAGAAGGGTTACATAAATAGGATGTGAATTGCGATGAATTTGACAGTTTGAGCACCTATGATTGATTTTCTACACAACTCTTGACTCCAAACGTATATTAGCTTTTCAATCATAGCTAACCAGTTACACAACCTAATGTAGAACTTCATTCATTTCCAATTATCATAGGTTAAGTCAGAGCAGACGTACAAATCGACTCAAGACAACAACTATTTCAATATTGCTATTTAATGATTTTCTGATGATAATATAATAATTTGTGTTGATATCATGTGAATAAAGAACAACTTAAATCCCACATGAATGCTGGAACGAAAAGGCATTGCATCTCCTGAATGATTTTTGTAGAATTCAAAACTCGTCATATTTTTCACATTTTTGTGTTTATTTTTCTACAGACACGAATATTTATTGATTTTGATTTCAATAATGAAATTATTTTACAATTTGTCTTCTTAAAAAATATGTCAATAAATTGAACGGAAGAAGTTATTTCTTAAACAAGTACATTTCACATAGCAGGCTGGACAAAAAATCGCTCCAAAAGTGATTTATTTCTAAAATTAATATGTTTTATAAATGATGTTAAAATTGTATTTATCAGTTGTAA